ACAACCCTATAGTCTAGTGAGGTTCCTTTAGTGTGTGTGTATATATATATATATATACGGACTACTAGTTACTGTTGGATTGACTAGGATGTATATGTGTATCGGATCTCTGCTTGGACTGTAGTAGAGTAGAACTTGTTTGTGGGCCTGACCCACCATTATTTTTCAGGTGTTCATTAGGAGTAGAGGTTATTTGTGCTGAGCGAGGATCAATCTACTTCATTCTTCCGATGCTATATAGGAGTTCCTTTATGATTCAGTTTCCTGATTTAGACAGTTATTGCTGTCATTTGTTTAGTTTGGATTTTCTAGGGGTCCACACAGTATGGATTCCCGAGTTGTATTTTGGAGGATCAGTTGTATCAGAAGAGTTTATTAACTAATGGAAATATATTCTGAGGTTTATTATTAGATTATCATTTTAGTTTCTTGTCAGCATTTTATTTATTCTTCTTTATTCTTTTGTACTCTGTGTTCGTTTATTATCAATTTATTTTGATATCATCGGGTATTCGGGCGTGGGCCTGGCCAACCCGCATTCTGAAATCCGGGGATATCACACCATTTAGGCATCCTCTATTGAGCGGTGGTACTCACCCCTTATTTAAAATATTTCAGGACTCGGAAATGACGAAGTGGATGATTCATCTTCACAATTGTAGACTTTGTGAGGAAGTGAATTATTGATGTCAATTGTAGTCCATACTATATATATAAAGTTTTGGGTTTAATCATGTATTATTCTGTATTTATTGATACGGCAGTGTAGAGGCATTTATTTGGTCATGTGTATTCAATTAACTTGCCTCATTTTGGCTACGATGATGTAATATGGATCAATTATGAAACATGAACATTGTTTTGTCACTATATTTATGTGTGTGGATGTTTTGGGACAGATTTTGAGTTGTTTGAATGTGCATATGATCATAATGGCAAAGTATAAGCAAACCAAAGCTCCCTTGGAAGTCCATGTCCACTTTCTGGGTTTAATCTGATCGATCGGATTCTCCCACACTTAGAAAATTTTCAAAAGATGACAGATTTCATTCTCGGTCCGATCAATTGGATTTAAATCTAGACTTAGAATATTTGAGGTTGTCAAAATCACTAGAATTGACTAAACTTCAAACAATCATAACTTGGTTATTTCTAACCCAAAATTAAGCCATTATTGAGTCTAGATTGATATATTTTGAATCACATTTCCATTGGAATCTATCTCATTTTATAATTTTAACTTGAAATGACTATTTTACCTCTCGTGACCCTAGGGTTCTAACATGAACTCTAAGTCGGAGTTACCATTCTTTAATGATCCAATATGGTTATAAATGACTAGTATGACTCCTAACTCACACTGAAGTGCATAATGACTATTTTGGCCTTAGTTAACCTCAGGTTCGGGTAAGGACCCGTTAATTATTCTGACCCCTGGGTTCGGGTCGTTACAATACAACACCCACCTTGGCTCGAGAGGATTCCTCTTCTACAACATATTTGTATTACATTGTATTATAATTTTATGACACAATTAAATTGATGATTTAACTTATTTATATAATTGTTTTAAAGTTTGTTAATGGAAGCGAGAGAATAAGGAAAGAGATTATGTATATCTTTCTTTTTATTCGGTTGGATAGAAAAGAATAAAATAAGCTCATAATTTACTATATTCGTTAGGAGAGAAGGAAATAAAAAGTTTTAATTATTTTTACCATTATATCATATTTTATTTTCTTTCCATTCCTTTCTATTTTCTCTACACACCTCTTTCTTTTTTACCCGAACACAGCATTAGACATAAGACAATGACATTATAAACGATCCTATTTTTCTTATAGATTATTGAATAATTTATGATTTTTGCTTATGTTTTTCGTGTTCTCACTGGTACTTATTATATCATTATTCTTTTAAAATTCTTTTTCGGTGGTTAAATTTGGTATTAAATTTTTTTTTTAATTAAAAATGGTAGTCTTTTCTTCTATTTTTTTCCTATCATGTAAAAAATAGAAAGAAAAGGAAGAAAAGTCTAATATTTTCAATAAAAAAATTTAATACCAAATTTATCCTTATTTTTATAATAGATAAAATATATAAAAAGGGTATGGCATAAATTCGTGAAAATAATTTTTTATTTTTATTTTTATTTTTCAAACATAATAGTTATTTTTTAATATATTTTTCTTTGTTTTATCTCGTAGTTAATGTTATTATTTTTTTTATTTTTTATTGTATCAGACTTAATTAATCTTGTGTTTTGAAAAGATAGAAGATAGAAAGAGATTTTTTATTTTGTGAGTTACGATCGTAAAGAATAATTCATTTATGATAAAAAAGAAAAGAAAAATAAAACACCGAAAAGCAAAAACAAATAATTTAACGAAAAATATAAATCATTTAATGTAATCGTTATCTTGATAAACTTTAAGCTTCATTATTTTATTCCTAGTGATAAAGTGAGCCGGTTGAAAATTTCTTAGTGAGAAGGATTGAAAATGAAAAAGGAATGAAAGAGAGAGAATAAAAATAAGAAAAGTCGTTAAGGAATCAATTTCCAAGGGAAACAGACTCTCCTTTTATAGTGGCACATAATTGCACAGAAGGTGATAACAAGAAGCATGTGAATGATGGGGCCCATGAAGAGCACAAGATGACCACCATTTTCCAATTTGTTAAATTGCTGAGCAGTTTCTTGGACATGGCGATTCACCAAACCCCATTAATTGAATAAGTCTCACATTCATCGAATTCGGATAAGCCAACCCATCTAACCAATAGGATTAGATCGTGGAGCAAAAAAATAAAAAATAAAATATAAAAAAACAATTACTATCCAAAATATTCATCTATAAAAAACACACACACACACGATGTTGAGATAGGTACGTGAAAATATGAAATTGAGAATTACAAACCAAGAGAATGAGTAAGACGACCATATAGAGGCAGGCGAATTTCATCTTGCAATACAAGGGGAAATTAGATTTATTTGTGTTTTAAATATAATAAAATAAATTAAATGGCTAATAATTAAGGAGTCCCAGAATTTTCAAATTAAGTTTACACAGGCAACGTTTTTACGTTGTTCCTCCACGGGGGTGGCATTTTGGACATTAGACAAAAATTATAAAAGTGACCACTTAATATGTTAATAATGTTTATTTCAATAAAAATCTTTGACAATAGAGCGACTTACACATTTAATTATTATTATTATTATGAATCAAGTGAATAATATATATTTTTTCACTATTATATAATTTTTTAAAATTTAAAATTTATTTAAATATTAATTTCCACAATTCTCAGTTAATTTTTGTAAGCTTAATAATTAGTTAATTATATTTAAAAAAAAACGTCAAAGAAGCGGATGATAAAAAAACAATTAAATAATAATAGAATTTCGAAATTTGATAGAATGTGGAATGAAAATTTTAGAATGAATCAAATTCTTTTTCCACACTGTTAAATTGATACGAAGGAGTCTAACAATATAAGGAAATGCCCATTATTAAGTTGCTACTATTGATTGTATGAGTCTAATAGTATAAGGAAATAAGGAAGTAATAAGGATCTAATAATATAAGGAATAAGGAAATAAAAACATTAGGAAATTATGAGTCAGTTTTTTAATTTGAGACGGAGGAAGAAATAATTTTAGGGACTCACTAAAATAAGGAGATAAAATTTTAATGAATTCTAATAAAATAAGAAAACAATTTTAATTAAAATTTTAATGAATTTTAATGAATAGGACGCTTTGGCACGTCTAATAATATAAGAAAATAAAAATATTTGGAAGTTGAAATAATAATTTTAGAATCGATGTAAGGAAATAAATTTTTTAAGAAGTCCAATATAATAAGGAAACAATAGTTTTAGCGACCTTCTTATTAGCGGGGCCTTATGCAACCGTTAAGTCGCCTAATAGTTCAATCGGCCTTGTCTCAACAACTTTTGCAATTGACCTGATTCAGCTTGAATTTGTATTGTGTGTATACATTTTGGCTTGATGTTGATGTATGAAGTATCTCAGAATCAAACTTACAAAATAATTAGCTGAAATTGAAATCAAACCAATTAAACCATTTTCCTTTCTTGGTAAAGGACTAACAAAATAGCTTGAACTAAACAATATTACAACATTGTTGCCAAAACCTCCCACCTCCATAATTACTCATTTATTAATTTTAAGATCACCTAGTACCCAATTGAGGGTGGATTAAACACATTAAAAGTCTTTGAAGTAATCGGGTAACAGCAATGTCATAATGAGTCACTGCTAAAAAAAAAAAAAAGTTAGTCCCACCCGTAGTTTTTGATATCATATTATTAATTTTAAAATCAACGCATTCAAGTTAGCAAATAGGTAATTTTTGCTTTTCCTCAATATATGTGTATAAAATTATAAATATAGTGAGTTATTAGGGGAATAGAGTTGAAAGGCCATCCGATTAATTTGACTTGATGTAACCAATCTCACCTAACGATAACTTTAAAATTGAAAACGTGTTGATGAAATTACTTAAAACGAAATAGTTTATATATATGCATTCACTTGCGTACGCAATATTACCTACCAATTACATAAAAACATATATATATAAGGTTTAAAAGGTTTTTGTTACGCACTGAAATTTATAATAAGAGTTATAGAGTTATTGTTGGAAACTATTTATTGGAGGCATACAGAATGAAAAATTTGTACTGTCTATCCTTTATCTTCTTCTGACCCCTTTATTGCCTAATTTGATCAAATCAAAACCGTCGATTCACACTTGCATTGCAAGCAAAACCATCTACTCACGCTTGCCTTGCTTACCCACAGTTTTCGATTCCCCACACTAGAGGCCTGAGCCCACTCAGCCTCTCTCTATATTATTTTATATATATATATATTTGTTGAAGGGGTATACTTTATTCCAAAAAGAAAAAGGATACAACTAGCAGAAAAGTGGTTGTCTTTTCAGAGTGCTAGAAGGTATCTCTCATCTTGTAAATTGCTGCGATAATTCCCATATCTCTATCTAGGGTTCAAACTTTTTTTATTTTTAATTTCTTATTACTTCTTTGCACGAAACCCAAAATCCAAATCTCTCGGTGAGTTCTTTAATTCCTGTAATCTCTTCGATTAACATGTGAATGCATGTATATTCTGTACCGTATTAAAATGAAAATCATCATTCATCAATTCAATAAAATTTATTTTAGTGGATAACGCGTCTTTTTCAAAACTTTTCATATGCAAGCGTACGGAAAGGATTACCATTTGTCACATATTATTGTTATTAATTAATCACACCAAAAAAATCACTCCAAAGACTCTTAACCTATTTGTTATCTTTGATTTGATTTTGTGATGTTTGCGTGCCGAATTTTGTTTTGGTCTGGGGAGATGTTTTTCTGTTGTGGGTCTTGGACTCCTTTCCAACTCTCTTATATCTCAATAAAAAGGGTTTTTAGGGTTTAGGGCTTGGAGTGTCTTGGGAGAGATTGGCTGAAATTTGTAATTCCTGTTCTTCTAAAATCTTTTGCCGGCCTAAGTTGTCTGTGGCTTGTTTGTTCTTTTATTGGAACTATGTAATGTTTCTTGTTCCTTGTTCCTTGTTTAATTTGTTATTGATTACAACTGGGTTGATTTTGATATAGATCACACACACACACACACATATAATTGCTGTGATTTCGTAAGCACTCGTTGACAGCTTCTTTGAAGTATATCCTAAATCCAAGCACAGTTCATTACTTATAATGTATATGAATCATTATACAAATATAATATGACAACAGCTCTTTCAAGGATTAATCTTAAATAGTATTTAGGAATTTTCTCGTGGGTTTCCATCTCTTTATGGCGAAGACTCTGAGAGTCTTTGCCTGCAGTTTAGGCACAACCTGTGCAAGCACAGCTCATTTGATTATGATTATTTACATATATAGGAGAATATTAGTAGCTGACTTTATTGTCAGAGAGTTGCTGTACTTTAGTAAATACTAATAGACAAATAAAAAAAATATTTGACCCCACTTGATTATGTGGCAATTGCAGCCCTTTATAATCCTTGCCTCATTCGACTTAACATCTCATCTTCTAGTTTACTATTCATATTTAATTGTAAGTCTCTCTCTCTCTCTCTCTCTCTCTCTCTCTCTCATCTATTGGGTTTGTTGAGTTGACTTGAAATTCTATGTTTTATGTACTGCCCTTGAATTTGCCAAAATTTTGTGTAGTTTTTTTTTTTTTTTTGAGAATTGAAGTCCGTTGATGCATGTAGTTATCCAGAAATCACCAGTCATGGAACCGTATATTCTTGTAGATTTATTATTGTCATTTGTGCAAAGAATTTCTCAGAGTTTAGGGAATTAGATGATCTATAATCTATTATTAAAATTGGTATAATTTTTCTGATAATATATGTTGGGTTTTGTTGTAGAGACTTTACAATTCGTGTTTCTTCTCATAAGAGCATAGGTTTACCTAAAAAAACAAAGAACAGTTCCTTTTATTTGTTTGGTCATTTATCTATTTTTTCAACTCATGTTATGGATCATGTTCATGTATTACTGTCAGTTTAGATGTTCAATTAAAATAAATCTGACTTGTTTAAAGAACACTGAATCACTGTGGGAATTATCATCCTTCTAATCTTTTAATCTTAGATGGGTGCCTTGGTTATCAGGGGTGACTCTTTATCTAGCCATGTTTTGTTGGTCTGTAAAGAAACATTCTAATTTCTTTTTCTGACTCTTTATCTAGCCATGTTTTGTTGGTCTGTAGAGAAACATTCTAATTTCTTTTTCTAATTGTCTCTGTAGAAAATATGGGTAATCTGTTTTGTTGTGTACAAGTGGACCAATCCACAGTTGCAATTAAGGAGAGATTTGGCAAGTTCGATGAGGTACTTGAACCGGGATGCCATTGCCTGCCTTGGTTCCTTGGAAGTCAGCTGTCTGGGCATCTTTCCCTTCGACTGCAGCAGTTGGATGTCCGCTGCGAGACCAAAACCAAGGTCTTTCTCTTTCGTAATTAGCATTTTAAATCTTTATTATTAATATTTTTTGTTTGGATGCTAAAATTTTAGCTATCAGAAATAGATATATATGTTTCCTTTGTGGCAGTTAGTGTTCAAGTGGAACTGAAATCATTTGTCTTTGTGGTCATTAATTTCTTTGCAGGACAATGTATTTGTCAATGTTGTAGCATCTATTCAGTATCGTGCACTGGCAGATAAGGCGAACGATGCTTTCTATAAACTCACCAACACAAGGACTCAAATCCAGGCTTATGTGTTTGATGGTACTGACCCAAAGTCATGCTTGATATGTTGAAATAAGCTTTAATGAAGATCATAAAGAAAAATAAACTGTCTAAGTTGCATATGCACTGCAATATTAATATTATATTACCACAAATATCATAAGCTGACTGGCTTTTTCTTCTAAATATATTTAGTAATTAGAGCCAGTGTTCCGAAGCTACTCCTTGATGATGCCTTTGAGCAAAAGAATGAAATTGCTAAAGCTGTTGAAGATGAACTCGAAAAGGTTTGATCAGATAGTGATTAAATATTATGATGCCTATGTCTACAGGCTACTCAAAGTTCTTTGATCCCTGACCCATTGGTCCCTGTGCACATTCATCAAGCTATTCATTTGATCCCTGAACCCATCGACCAATCAATAGAACTATGTTTTGACTTGATTATAACACCGTTCTTTCAATTTCTCACAGGCTATGTCTGCATATGGCTATGAGATTGTGCAAACGCTGATTGTTGATATAGAACCAGATGAGCACGTTAAGCGTGCTATGAATGAAATCAATGCTGGTAAAGATACACTATCTCTCCTATAATCTGTAGAAGTTTTTAAATTCAACTCTATTTCTCAAAAGATACCCTCTCCTATAATTTGACCAAGTTTCTAAATTCAACTTTATCTCCCGTATGGCTTTTCATGGCCATACTGTTTAATATTAGTTATACCATTTTAAACGGCTATACTGCTTTGAGAGGCTGTATCTTGAGTCATGTAATTGACTTGTCTTCGTTCTATTGTCGAACTTGTGGACTTAGAAAATCTGCAAAGTGAAAACCCATCAAATGATCACTGTTGAAACCCCTTGCCTCCCTCTTCCTGGGAAACAAGAATGTCAGTATATCCTGACAGGCAGTTTTAGCTATTCTATGGCCTCAAATATGATAAATTGTAGTTCATGAGATATTTGTGATTAATATGCTACGTACTGTTTTACTATAGATTGGGAATTAGTACCTATCAAACACTCTTGCCAACTAAGCCAATTATCTCTCACCAAAATGATCTGCTGTTTATGTCAGTATATCCTGACAGGCAGTTTTAGCTAATCTATGGCCTCAAATATGATAAACTGTAGTTCATGAGATATTTGCGATTAATATGCTGCGTACTGTTTTACTATAGATTGGGAATTAGTACCTATCAAACAATCTTGCCAACTAAGCCAATTATCTCTCACCAAAATGATCTGCCGTTTTTTGAGCAACTGGTTTTCAATTTTGTTTCACAGTTCTATAGAATGTCAGTATATCCTGACAGGCAGTTGTAGCTAATCTATGGCCTCAAATATGATAAATTGTAGTTCATGAGATATTTGTGATTAATATGCTGCCTACTGTTTTACTATAGATTGGGAATTAGTACCTATTAAACACTCTTGCCAACTAAGCCAATTATCTCTCACCAAAATGATCTGCTGTTTTTTGAGCAACTGGTTTTCAATTTTGTTTCACAGTTCTAATAACTAAAATTTATTTTCAGCTGCAAGGATGAGGGTGGCGGCTAATGAAAAGGCGGAGGCTGAAAAAATTCTACAAATTAAGCGAGCTGAGGGTGAGGCTGAGTCCAAGTACCTCTCAGGATTGGGAATTGCTCGCCAGCGTCAAGCGATCGTGGATGGTTTGAGAGATAGTGTGTTGGGCTTTTCAGTTAATGTGCCGGGAACTACTGCAAAAGATGTCATGGACATGGTCCTTGTCACTCAGTACTTTGACACCATGAAGGAAATCGGTGCATCCTCAAAATCCTCCGCTGTGTTCATCCCCCATGGACCTGGTGCTGTTCGTGATGTGGCTAGTCAGATCCGTGATGGACTTCTCCAGGGATCACACACTTCTTGATTCTCTCTCAAGTTGCTACAGAAATTCTATGACATAGTTCCTTTATGTTTTATATTTCTTGGTGTTTGTTTTGTGGTTTCTTCCTATGGATACTTGTCTATAACTTTTTTAAGTACATAGCAGACTTGAACATTTGGTAGAAGTACAAGCTTATTATATAATTTGCAAACTATGGGATTGTTCCTTGGTAGATGCCAGTTCATTGGTTCTCTCTGTTGCAGTCCTAATTCAAGAATTTGCTGCAGCTTTTTAAACAATAGAAGCTGCATCTGATTGAAACTGTGGTCACTCGAGGTGATTCATATAGTTGGGTTATTATAAGAAATTGGAAATTGAAGGACTTTTTTTTGGTTATTCTCCGAGGGAATGTATCACTCTCAATATCATTAATTGAGCCCAATTTCTTAAAAGTTATATAATAATTTAATGTTTTTACTTACTCTGGATGTACTCCATAATTGTTTTTAAACATTTTGGACAACCTACAAAATTATGAACAATTAAATTCTCTGACTCACAACTAATATTGTTTTCTGTAATACAAAAAGGTCAATTTGAGTTTGTGTATCAGCAAAATTACTGGGATAACACATAATTACATATAAAATTGTACTTATTTCAAATTACGAAACAGTCTCACCACACGCGAACAAGACTATATGTAACTCTCTCCATAGTGGCAGAAACTGAGCTCATGCTATATTTTTCTTCCGACAATGATATCTTTGACCTCACTGCAATAGAGTACCAAAAAAGAAAAACAAAGTTGCTTAATCTTCTAGGATCTAAGAGCAAATACAGCCCTAGCTTGGCCTTATTAGTTACAGCCTTGAAGTCCACCTCTCCCACTATAGTTAAGTGGTGACCATAACTCCTGCTGTATAAGGGCACCTACCTTGCCGAGCTTTTACCATTGTAATGGGTGCCCAAAGTAAGTAGAGTGACCAACGGTTCAGTAGTCTAGCGGTATAGCCTCTTACTCCTCAAAAGACGTCGGAGGTTCAAGTCTCAGAAGAGTCAAGTGTGTGTGAGTACCAACTAGGAAAAAAAAAAAAAAAAAGTAATTAGAGTCTCATTGTTGATTTTTGGAAACTTTTCTTTGTAGCATTTAGTGCGAATGTGCTAGTGGAACTGAAATCACTGGTCTTTGTAGTTATTAATTTCTTTGCAGGACAATGTATTTGTCAATGTTGTAGCATCTGTGCAGTATCGCGTGTACTGGCAGATAAGGCGAGCGATGCTTTCTATAAACTCACCAACACAAGGACTCAAATCCAGGCCTATGTGTTTGATGGTACTGACCCAAAAGTCATGCTTGATATGTAGAAATAAACATAATGTAGATCATAAAGAAAAATAATCTCTGTCTTCGTTGCATTTGCACTGCGATTTTGAGATCAGATTACCTCGAGGATGCCTTTGAGCAAAAAAATGAATTGCTAAAGCTGTTGAAGATGAACTTGAAAAGGTTTGATCAGATAGTGATTAAATATTATGATTCCTATGTATTGACTTGGTTTTAACACTGTTCTTTCAATTGCTCGCAGGCTATGTCTGCATATGGCTATGAGATTGTGCACACACTGATTGTTGATATAGAACCAGATGAACACTGCATATACTTGATGTATTCATAGTAAATTTCTATATTAACTGATTTTTTTTTTAAGATAGAGAAGAACGAACTAGTTTGCTGTTTCCTTGGAAACAAGAATGTCAGCCTGTCCTGACAATCAGTTTTAGCTTTTCAATGGCCTTAAATATGATAAATTTTTGTTCATGAGATATTTGTGATTAATATGCATAATGTTTTAACTATAGGTTGGAAATTAGTACTATCAAAATCTCTTTCCAACTAAGCCAATTATCTCACACCAAAATGTTTTCCTGTTTATTGAGCAACTAGTTTTTAATTTTGTTTCACAGTTCCAGTAACTAAAATTTATTTTCAGCTGCAAGACTGAGGGTGGCTGCTAATGAGAAGGCAGAGGCTGAAAAAATTCTACAAATTAAGCGAGCTGAAGGTGGGGCCGAGTCTAAGTACCTCTCAGGTTTGGGAATTGCTTGCCAGCGTCAAGCAATCGTGGATGGCTTGAGAGATAGTGTGTTAGGCTTTTCAGTTAATGTGCCAGGAACTACTGAAAAGGATGTTATGGACATGGTCCCTGTCACTGAGTACTTTGACACCGTGAAGGAAATTGGCACGGCCTCTAAATCCTCTGCTGTGTTCATCCCCCATGGACCTGGTGCCGTTCGCGATATGGCTACTAAGATCCGTGATGGACTTCTTCAAGCTTCATCACACATCTGATTCTCTCTCTTAAGTTGCTATAAAAATTCTCTGCCAAAGAAGGTTTTTTGTTTATATTTCTTGGTGTTTGATGTCTTGTGATTCCTTCCTACATAGTAACTATATAACTTTTAAAGATTTGACAGAAGTACAAGCTTTATAATTTGCAAACTATGGTATGGTTTCTCATGATGCCACTTTTACGTAGCAGACTTAGTTAAGATGGAAATATTTACATGATTCATAGAGTCAAATTTATTTTGATCAAACTCTGAGAGTTCAGCATAAAAGGAATGTTTTTTTGGTCCTTCTCCATGAGATTCTCCAAATAAAACATCTCATTATATATAGCACCAATTGAGCCCAACATCTTATTATCTGCTTTCCTGATAGGTAAACATTTTCTAGCTTTCATATATATATATATATATATAACGTACTAAAAGGGTCATAACTTTGCACTCTTATGATATGGTAGAATGGGGAAAGAAGGGTCATTCCCTTGTAGAAAGTGGAAGAAACTGGGCTCATGCAATATTGTTCTTCCAACAATTATATGTTTTACCCCCATGGTATATAAGAAAGAAAAAGAAAAACAAAGTTGCTTGATCTTCTAGGGTTGCTTGATCTTCTAGGGTCTAATAGCCAAAGACAGCCCTAGCTTAGCCTTATTAGTTACAGCCTTGAAGTCCACCTCTCCAGCTATAGTTAAGAGAAGTGGTGACCATAACTGCTGCTGTATAAGGGCACCTACCTTGAAGTTAGTGGTCAGTCGAGCTTTCACCGTTGTAATGGGAAGCAAAGCATACTGGGTGCCCAAACTAAGTACTGTCTCATTGCTGAAGAATCTGTGAGTTAGCTCGGCTGCAACAGCAGTGCTGGTAAGAGGATTCAGTGAGCGATAACAAGAAGCACGCAGAGTATCAGCTTTGTCATTCCTGCATCATTAAGTATGTATCAGAAAATCAACCATTTTGATTCAAATTAATAGTGAATGAGAATGTTCTAAATATGATCTCAAACTAGTACAGCACATTTGCTATACATATAAAAATATGTTATCTTTGAAAAGAACCACCACTTAAAGCTTCATCTCATGTGGTTGTTCTCAAAAGGTTCATGCAGGGTAAGATTTCTCATTTAATTTTGATAAAACGGAAAATTCAATGTGAAGTGCTTCTTCATTCAATTTATTTCTGTCATGTCAAACAGAGGAAAAAGAATTACAAGCTCAAGGAAGCAATGAGGATGGGACTGTTCAAGGTAAAACCAGCATTGCATTTGGCCAAAGTTGCTGTTGCGCTATCAAATGCGAGTTCTGTTCCAATGGAGAAAAAGCTGCTACCGACCACGCCTGAGAAATCTAGTATAGGTCTTGTTGCCAAACTGATGCCTGCAGTAACCCCGACATAGTCATGTAAGTATCTCAGTTCCACCTGCATCCACAATCACCAGTGAATTATGGTTGAAGTTTCTTGAAATATAATAAAGACAAGAAATGTGTATATAGCAATGAGTCCATGGCACCTTGTTAGACCTTTGATAAGGTATGAAAAATCTAAAATCTGTCCCAAGTCCAGGCACAATCTCATTAACTGCAACATTTGAAAAAAGTTCAAGAAGTATGTTAAACTTTCAAATGATGATCAAAGCAGCAATTCACAACTATGCACAAACAAGAGTTGTTTGTTGGGTCTTATCTGAAGAGAGTTTAATTGCAAAAAAGAGAACTAATATTAGCTCTACTTGAAGTAAAACATTATTTTCATTTTGACAATGAAACTTCCAGATTTTTCAATTGATAAGCTGTATTATTGAAAGCAATGCATGCAAATCATTGAGAGCATCAAAATAAACTACTCATATTTCAGCATCAATTCCTCCATTGAATAGAAATAAATGAAAACAACATTTGAAAACTTTATTATCAACATATCAAGAAGAGATTACTTTGACAGGACAAATTAAAGCTCCAGTCCAGGATTTGGTAGTGAAAGTGAATTGGTGGTTGCTGAAAATAATCCTTGTACAGAAGATCTACAAAAAGGTAAATATACATAAGCAAATATATAGGAGATTATAAGTATGATCATATCACAAAGGAAAACATATTTAATTTATGAATGGTAAAAACTTTCACTCAACTAGAAAACAAGACCTTAAGTAATGATTTGTAGGAAGAAAAAAAGATGTTTTACCTCTGGCTTTCTTGCCAATACCATGGTAGATACCGGGACCGTTGCTCATTTCAATTTCAAAGTTTATGATGATGCAACCTTGTTTTATTTCTCTTGGTTAATTTTGTTTCGACAAGAAAATTTAAACATTTGAATGGAAAAGAAGCCGCCAAATTAAGAGGAAATTTCTCCCTAGTAGCAAAAGTTTGAGGGAACCTTCCCAGAACCCATTCAAGATCTATATAATGGCCTATTGTGGTAGATCTAGAGTACTATAAAGACTTTACAGACAGGTCCTGAAAATAGTGAGGAACAATTGAAATATGGAACAACACAGAGTTTTAGTAAGATCTGAATAAGAACAAAAACACAGTACTTTTGGAAATTTCTCCATTAACAAGCAAGTACATACAAGTGACCCTACTAAGAAGGCATCTTCATTGTGCTTGTGCATTTGTAGAAGAACTCTCCTATATTTTTTTTTTATTGGCACACCATTTATGTGCTTTTTTCGAACATGGAGCAAGCTCAGTTGTTATGGAGTGGTGCATTTTGGCTTTAAAAGCACGCAGGATCTCAGATTAGCTTCGCGATGATGTTGTTATGGTGAGTTCTTTTTTGGTGAGATTGTTGCAAGTTTCAAACCATCCATGATTTCAGAAGATTATTCTTGTATATTAGGCCTCTCACTGTTATATATCCTCTAATCAGCCTACTATTCTCTAAATTGATATTACATGCTTTAAGGTAAACTGTCTAATACTTGTTTCAATTTGCCAATGCTATTCTACCATGTGATGGAGGAACTAAAGCTGTTCATTGTCCATTCAAAATTAATAGTAGATTTACTTGGATTTGCTGCAGCCTTAGTGACTTTTTCTGAATTACTGCAGAAATTCCCAAATCATTTCCCTTTCTTTCATCAAATCAATGGAATATAAATAATCCCACATAATCCAACAAATTCCCAAGTATTCACAAATATCCTGAACATCACTAATTAATCACTGTGTTAAAAGTAAACTTTTTCAATTGCTGGTTAATTGTGTTTTTTTTTTTTTTTTTTTTTTTTCTTTCTTTTTTTTTTTTTTTCTTTCTCAACTTTACATGAATTGCATTCTAAATTGCTGGCAATTCCTTTTCTTCTTCTTCTTCCCTCTTTCAGTAAAAGGTAAAAATTTTACTATCCACCCACATCCTGATTTTCTTCTTTTTCCCCTCTTTCAGTAAAAAGTAGAATTTTTTACTATCCACATCCACATGCATTTTCCTCTTTTTTTTCGTGCTTTCCCTTTTTTCTCACCTTGGTTGTAGTGTTATTGTTGTCTGAATCTGCTCTCTCCCATACTTGAACTTGTGGCCCAACATATAGGTCCCAAGGGTACTTTAAATACAAAATCAGAGAAAATCAAATGACAACTAAATTAAATAGACTAGGGTCTCAAATCTCAATACTGCAATGATCAAAGAAGTAAGGAAAGCACAATTCTCTTTGTTCCTTTTCTTCTTCCTGAAAATCTTTATCATTGAATTAATGATTCTAATATTAAATAAGTAAAAAAAAAAAAAGACAACTTATTTAAACAAAAAATGATGATTAACAGTGAAGATAAAATGGAATCCTTTAAGTGAAAGTAGAGAATTTAAGATCACTTGAATGTCACATAGAAGAGGATTGGATAACATTGACTAAAGTGAATAATTTTAGCATCTGTTATCGATTGCAGGCTAAAACTATATATACAATGATTCCACAGAATGTGTGGAATAATCATATCTTTATACTGCACCAAACAATGATATATATATAAAGGGAATGGTAAAACTTATGATGAGAAGCATTAAAATCACGTAAAATTATAACGGGACTTGTCCAATTTTATATGTTAGAATGCAAATCAATGTTAACACTTTCCGCGACACAAATTACAACAAACTCTCTCTCATTTAAAATCTCCCCTTCAAACCTTTCACCATCTTTGTTCTCCACCTCCCTTTGTTTTTTTTTTTCCTTCCCTTATTTAATAATGCTTTCAATCTCTCAATACAAAACAAGAAACAAAACCCCATTCCCACATGCCTTTTAACCCCACTCTCTTTTTCACTTGTTACAATGATGTTTGTTATTAAACCCCACACTTTTTCAACACCAACAGTTGAATGAAAACCCAATTGTTTCTTTACTCTCTGTCCTCCACCACCACTTCCACAATGCCCAAATTTTCTACTCATCATCTACTACACCTACTTTTACTACATTAACCGATCAGACAAGCTTGGAAGTCGCCTAAAGAAGTTCAAGCTAGCTGGTGGCATGGGGTCTCTGAACATTGGGTGGCGCAAAAAGTAAAACCCTAGTGCCACTGCTACCATTTTTGGTGGCACCACATACAGTACCACTGTTATTGCAAGGCACACCCCTACAAACAACTTTGTGGCCCGTGGGTCCCTCCAGCTCACCAACGCTTGGACCCTCTCTCCTTGTGTCGCCAAATCACCCAACACTGTTTGGACCCTTGCAGCCAATGTTCTCAACCGGTCATACCGGATCCTGATGATTTCGGGTGGTTTTGAGCTCGGAATTGTGTCGAATTCTTCATCTAATTCATCCGGGTCAACAGTCTCGGATTGAGAAAGTCTGATATCCATCCCGGCTGGTATTTTAGGTCTGAACCGATAGTACCATACCCCGATCAAGAACACGTATAAGAACCCGGTTGGGACTATCAAATCCGGGTACCAAACAAGAACCAAGTACAACACATGGACTAAAACCGTTGTAACCGGATTCCTCCACCGCCGAATGTCATCTATCCATTTTGCTAACCCGACCGCCCATGCTAGCACAGCCACTATCCGGAACCAATTGGCTTTACTCTTTCTCATGCTCCAGGTGTGCGAATCCGCATCCAACATGTACCGAACAACTTCAGGCCCCAGTGGTGGCTCCGACCTTGCAAGCCACACCGCCACCATTTTAGTGGCTGCCCCACGTAATGCCTCCTGTTGAGCCACCCCAAGTGGGCGAAGATAATGCATTCGCGGAAGCAAAGGCTGCCCATAAACTGCACACGTCTCTGGCAACAATGACGGGCAGGCAAACCGAACTGCAACCTCAATTTCTCCCATTTTCTTCAACCCGGTCCGTAACAACACCAGTAACGGGTAGGAATTGGTATACACCTTGTTGCTCTCCAATGTAGATACGCGTATACGGACTTTTCCTATACGGTAGTCGGGCTTGTCCTCTGACACGTCAGCGAACATACGCCAGTTGTCAAAGACCCCTATTGTCAGCACGGTACACGGGTCATAGACCTGCCACGTGTATTGCTCGTTCCAGCGAGGATCAAAGCTATCAGTGATGGTCCTGGTGCGGACCCACTTTTTCCCATACTTCGCGACGCAGTAAGCATCGGTGGACCCTTTTCCGCCACCCTTCGTTTTCATCGGAAGCAAACCACGAGCGCCGAGGATGCCGAGCTCCAATATTCCGATCGCCGGCTTCCAGAGCTGTTTTGCCGTCGGCCGGAAGTCACTGCACACGTGAGCGGCCTCGTCGAGCACGTGATACCCACCCTCCAAGCAGAGCCTCAAGTGTATGCGCCCACAGTAGGAGGACCCATTTGCTGCTCCTCCAACACCTCCCAATCCGAACCACTTGGAGGCCACGTGTCGTTCATCCAGCCGTTGCTCGATTGAAGACACAGGAATCATGATGAGGCCGAGAAGCGCTGGATCTTTGGCGGTACAGTCCTCGACGAGCAGGATCAACTGGTCTTCGAATGGCTCGCCGGCGACGAACACGAGGTCTTCGTGCCAGAAGAACGTGGAGTTGTGATTGTTCATCGCTCCTCGCCTGGTTCTTACGGACTGAAACCCTAGCTGTGCTTTGACTCGAATCTCAGGAGCTGTCAATGGAGGTAGATTGGGAGCAATGTGTAGGTCTTGAGCTTCGATGACTGTAATTCTCAGATACCAAAGCTTCGGAGACTGATAGACCTTTGAGCGCGTATGAGCAACGTGCGGTGCGTCGGTGCTCCAAGATTCGGGAAACGCATCGTCGGCTTGAGTTCCGATCCAAACGGAGAGCTGCATGTCCCCGGAGACACAGCCAGAATGTGAATTGTCGGCGCCTTCGAGGCGGTACCACAGAGGAGCTAGTGGACTATCCGGCGGATCACGAACCGGAACGTCTGAGAGATCGAAGCATACCCCGCCGAGGAAGCGCTCCGTCGGTCCGTCCCAGACGGAGATCTCGAGAGTCGAACTGGCTGAATCTGGTTTGTTGTGTCCGAGAGCGAAGACCTGGTGCCACTCGGGGTTTGTCGACGGCTCGTTCGGTCTGTAACTCGCCGGTTTCGATTTAACGAAATGGCCCGATGTACGGATCTTTACGAACGGATTCTCATTCTGTGTGAGTCCACGAGCTTTCACAATTCTGATGAAGAGGTACTGCATCGGCTCGACGAGGCCGAAGTTCGACATTCTCTCCGATTCGCCGGCGAACTTTCCGGTGATCACTCTCGGCGCGTATTCACCGTTTGGTCTTCTGAGAACTCTCACTCTTTCGTTTTGACATCCAACAGAACCAACTCCAACAGGACCTACACCCCCTACCTGCATCTTCCTCACCTCTGCCGGAAACTGACGCACTTCCTGCTGGACCACCGGAGGTACATGATGAGGATGATGATGCTCCATCTGGACCGTCGCAGCCGGCGGGGACTCCAGTATAGTAACAATCGGTGGCGACATTGATCCTTCCATTGCCACCTGCGTCGGCATAGGAACATCCACAACCACCGGCGTCACCACCGCTTCCTTCTCCTGCGGCGGCGGTTCTTCAGTCTTAGGCTCCTCCTCAACCATCTCATCATAGTAGTAAATTCTTAATCCAATCTCTCCTCTGATCCAACTGAACACACTCTTCTTCTCCAAAGGACTGTAAACCAACCCTTCATTCCCTTTCTTGGCAAATTGGCTTCCGTACATCTTCACACGCCCTAGAAAGTGATTCTTCCTCGCACTCCCATTGCTATTCTTCTTGTCATTGAATACCTCGATTTCAAGCTCTTCCAACTCCATCGTCCCCGGATCCGAGACGATGAATTCGAGACTCTCGTTCCATACAGGATTCAAATTTCTGAATACCGTCGATGTTCGCTTTTTCTGGCCGTCGAAGTCCGCGACGACGTAGGGACTCGAGCTTCCTTGGCCGTCCTTGGGAAGGAGGTCACGAGCGTCAACCACGTCGACTATCAATTTACGGATTATTTGGGGTTGGTGTTGCTGTGGAGGAGGAGGAGACGACATAGTCATGGTTTCATGTTTTGTTTTGTTTTTCCGGCCGGTGAGGCGTCAGGTTTCCGGCGATGGAGTGAGGGTGGTTGAAGTTGGAATATGGACAAAGAATGGCCGTTGATGGCGGTGAGGTGAAGTGGATTGATTTTGCTTGTCTGTGGTGTTTGCTTTTTGTGTGGCCTTTTTGAATTCGGTTTACGCTTTCTAATTTTGTTTCTTATTTTTTTTTTTAATTTGCATTGCTTTTACTGTTTTCAGATTTGGGGAATGTCTTTTGGAGGGAATTTTTTGTTGCAATTGTTGGTGATGTGATGAGATGCTGCTGCTTGGGTGGATGTAGAGAGAGAGAGAAAGGAAATGAGATTCCATTCTCTCTCGTGAAGGCTTCTCCAACTTTTCCGTTTCCTCTTTTTTTTTTTTTTTGGGTACGTAAACTAATCACTTCATCTCTCTACAACTTGATCATAGTTTGCAAATTACAATTATAAGATATAGTTTGTGTCTTTATATTAATATATGTAAAATATAATTTTCTTGTTGAATTTTTAACTTTGTGAGATCAGGCAGGGTTGGATTTTGTCTCAAGTTATGCCGGACCAATCCTTGGGTCTAAATTGAGTTTTGTTAAGGCCTTCTATTCATCATGAGGTTTGATTACACAACTTGGATTATGTTATATAAAATACTGTATTTTGACACTAGTGTAAGGAAACTTATGGAAAAAGAAGAAGAAGATTCTAATGTTCTTAAAATATTAGTACAATCTTTTCATTAGAAAGATTAAAACAATGACAATGTGCCCTTAAAGTAATAAATTAAGAATAAATGAAATCTTTAAGTTCAAGTCCTAATTTTAGCCATTAATTCTCTGTACCTGAACTCACATTGATTTGAAGCACCAACAATGGCTTGAGATGGAAGTAGAGGGTTTTGATTGAGAGTCTGAGACTGGGATTGAATTTTGGTAGTGGGCTTGAAATGGAGCTTGAGCTTGGATGGTTGGTTTTGATTGAGATTGAGTTTCGAATGAACTTATATTTGGAGTTTTAACAATGACAAGTTAAAGGTCCTCCTAGCTTGTCCAGACTAGTTTTATGTGGACTTGAACCAATTCAATTACTATGCAGAGCCAATCCGCTTATAAACAGTTGAAATTACTATGCAGAGCCAATCCGCTTATATATAACATAAGAAGTACATAATGAGAGCTTGGACTATAGGTCATTGATGGGAAGGAACTGACTGAAGTGGGTAGTGGGGATAAATTGAAATTGAAATCATGATTGATGATATGGTACGATTTTATGTGAAGTGGTGGTGCGATCGTTTTGACGACCATTGACTAATCATGATTTAAGGTTGTGAGAGAGAAGACTAAGGCATCGTATGAGAAATCTCAATTTGACTGACCATGGATGGAGCAAACTACAAAGAAGAAGAATGTGTTATTTGCAGAATCGCGAAAAAACTGAATGTAGGTGTGCATTTAGACATTTGGTGAAAATCAATCACTTATAGTTTCCTAATATTTGAAACCATAAATCCATCCTCTGTAATCTAGTGATGTTAGTTATAAAAAAGAAAAATACAATACAGAAGATGGAATGGGGGAAATAAAAAAAAAAAAAAACATTTTATAGTTAATTTGCCAAGATGAAGAAAGCAAACAGATGTTATTGTTGTTGGTCACAGGGGCATAAATTGTTTAGAAAATAGTGATATCTTCTGATTCAGGTCTTGTTCAAGTGAACATACATGTGAAAAGCTTCAGTAAATCACACCACACACTAAGATGCTAGTGCAAGGCAAAATGTACTACCTCCGTAGATGACCCAATTCCTTTTTGACAAAAGTAACCAACATTTCAAATAAAGTGGAGGACAAAAGCATCTCCTTTATCGCTTCAGGGCCCTTATTCTCTTCTATGTGCAGTGTCATTTGTCAACACCCATAGCTGTCAAATTGGATAATGTCCCGCTAGGATGAGGACAACTTCCCCAAATTGGATTGAGAGCCCCCTAAACCAGCTTCAAACTTTTGAAATCAAAGACCACCCAACCATTAACTACAAGTTCAAATATAATTTAGATAAACTGTAGTCTGTTCACATGAAATTCAAAGCTATGGATGCTTCATGGTTCTACTCAAGTCTTAATATTATTTATTTATTTTTAAACCCATAGTCAAGTCTTAATTAAATGCATACTTTTTGTTTAGATTATGGCCATATTTGTGTCATGGAAGCTAAAATATCCACTCTATATTTACTTCCCACTATATCAACAAACAACCATTTGTCTACTTTTTTTTTTTTTTTTTTTTCTCACTAAATTGGCAAAAGCGGGACAATTGTAGTGAGGTTTTCAAAAACTAATGTAATTATATAATGTAAGTGAAATATGTTTTCTACATCATCCATTTATTTATTTTTTTTCACCTCTTTTGCTTTAAAATATTGTGCACATTTCTGCTCTAAGAATAAATCACAAGACAAGAAAATCATTGTATGTATAAAATGGAAAACCCAAAAGAGAAACAGTACACAAACATGCCCTAAAATACAGTACAAAAAAGAAAATGATCCTATTCTATTGCTGTTTGTGGTTGATGTGGACCCAACTGCACCAATTTTTATTTTATCGGCACGCATATCGAAGAAGCTTCTCCCTCCCGCTTCTTGTATACGTGGGTACGGTGGATTGTTGATGCGGTGGGTTTGTTCACCCTTTAGTGGAAATATTGGTTATGGAATCGGATCCTTTCTATATAAAGTGACTTTCCATCTGATGCTTGTGTTTTTGGCATATAACAAGATGAGCACAAGCTCAATATTGCCACCTATTGGATTCTTATGTTTTTTTTTTAATGTTTTTGTTTTGAATAAGTCTATAATTTTTCATTTTTTATTTTTACGTGGCAAGAAGTGAGAGAGGATGGTGTGAGTTGGCTCTCACACGACTTGGAAGAGTTCTTCTACCAACTGATGTATCTAGCTCAACCGAAAAAGTCTATAATTGAATAAATTACTATTAAGATATAAGAGTGTGAGGTAGTGAACTCCACAAACTCTGCTACAGCAGTGTTAGGAAATTAATGAAATTTCACAATAAAAAGGGGGAGAATTTAAAGGCTTGTTCGGTTCAAAGCAATTTTAAAATCCTTAAAATAGAAAACAAGTTTAAGAGAATCATGAAAACAGAAAATCCAAATTCAAAATTTATATTTGCAAAATTATAAAATATTTTTGAGAATTCTGTGTAACCAAATGAAATTTCAATAAAAATAAAGAAAACTCTTTGGGACTTTTTATCGGACTTTTTTTGAAAAAATAAAAATTTAAGAGCTCTTCGTCAAATTCCCAAAGGCGTAAGTTAAGAAAACTCTTTGGGACTGGGAACATAATCTAATTTAGCATATCCAGTCTCTTGTTTGAATCTAATTCATGTAGTTTGTGAGGTTGAAGATAAAACCCACCTAATTACTCAATACCCAAGTTAGGTGAAGTGAGAGAAGATGTTGAATAGTCACCTTTAAAAGACATTTGATAAATCTGACGTGGCTTGACCACATCAGATTCGGTAAAAGATTGGGGATAATTGTTGGGGTTTTCTATTATTATTCTTAGACAAAATTTATAATTGCAAAAATTTAGTTCAAATTTAAGAAGAATGCAACGAAAATTTGGGATGTCTGAGACTTATGTGGAAAAAGCTTTCAAATCATTGTGTTTTAATAAAGAGCAATACTTAGATCTTCGCTAGTGAGGACTTACACCGTCCTCACTAATCACTAGTGAGGATCTACACCATCTTCATTAGTGATGTGAACCAATAATAAATAGACATGACATCACAGAGATGATGATTTATTATGGTGAGTAAATACACACTTATCAAATCACAACTAAATCACAGTGATAGTGATTTATTATTGGTCCACATCATCAGTGAGGATAGACTTAAGTATCATTCTTTAATAAATACACTAACCTCTTCTATCACGTCATTAAAATGGGATTAACAGTTGGTATCATATTACTAAAATGATATTTGTATATTTAATAAATATATCTTGTGAAATGAGGGCAATATTGAAATTTAAACATTTTTTTAATTTTTTTATAACATGACATAATCATTGTGTTTTTTGAGCAACATGGGAGATGATTGTTACCAAGATTTCATATTCCAGTGAATTCTGTATAATTTTGGACAAAAATAGAGGAGGTCTTAGTAATTTTGTCATATCACAGGGGAGTTCTATGTAATTAACTCTATATTAAATGTAAAAAATACAAATCCTATGTGTAATTTAATAGTTCCTAATCAAATTCTTAGAATCCCATATCTGCAAAATAATTCCATAATTATCAACAAAGTTTTATATATATATATATATATATATATATATATATATATTGTAGTTTGAATAAGATATCTCTTTCTAAATTCCATCCCAAAAAATAATTTATTTTCCATTACATTTTCTTGGGTAGGTAAGTATATGAGTGGAAATATAACATAAAATATGTATTTATTTATGTGTGTATAAAAGAAGATAATGGGGGACAATAATTATTTTCCATTATTATTTTCTTGGGTAGGTAAGTATTTGGATTGAATTGAAAGATGAATCTTTGCAGTCCCATTATTCAAAATTCATTAATTGTCAAAAATGACTCCCCATCGCCAAAGTTTTCTATAAAAAATGGTGCAAAGCAACGGAGTGACTTGACCCCATCATCTACAGTTTGAAGATATAAAAGGAATATTGGACTTTTATGCCCTTCCATGAATAACGGCTTCTCAATTTAAGGAGTGACCATAGACTACTACTTCTCTCCAATAAACATCAATCATATAACATCATATAACATGATGAATTCAGATATTTCAGAAATGTGTCCAACTTATGTCAGAGTCGGTGAGGTGGGTTCCAACTTTGAATCCGGACTCCACTCGTCCCGTGGCTTGGTTGTGTGTCGCTACTATATCGACTACATCGGCACAAATTGCGATACAATAGAGGATTTGGTGGAAATGGTCGGTGAACTCGTACGTCACGAGCAACCGATACTACTTGGAGCAGATGTAAACCTCCACATTGACCATTTTATAACCCTATGAAATCTGCAACACTAAAATGTACCTAACACTTCTGACACATTTACATAAAAATCCATATTACTTTTTACATCTAAATACATGTTAAAGCCTTCTTGTTTTGGAAATATTGATATATATATTGTAACAATTCTCACCTTACTCAAGTGCAATATTATTAGTTTTTGATTTTCCTGGATTAGAAACTTTTCAAGGAATTACTCATCCTAGTACTACTCCAAATTGAGCACGCTTAACTTCAGAGTTCTGGTACGTTCACGACTATCATCACTTTAAAACGCGTTGATGTAAAACCTATATATATCATCACTTCACATTTTTCAAGCGATGTGGGATTTTGACCTAAGTCACACAATTCTTTTCAACAAGTGTCATTCTCACGCTCCGACCTAAGTCACACAATTCTTTTCAACAAGTGTCATTCTCACGCTCCGAGCGCGCTCCCGCTCTCACGTTTCGTGTGCGCTCTTGTTTAAATTCTTACTGCTTATGACTTAATTATGCCGCTCTCACGCTACTGTTCTCGAATTCGTTCTCGCTCCAGTCCCCGCTTTATGTGACTTAGACCACGACATCTTATATTTTACCAGTGCTTGCCCACATCACACCTGTCCACGGAGGTCATCACATATAAATCAGATCATAATTAGGGTTGAAAATGGGTCAAGCTAGCCCAACATATACATTGAATTTACTAACTGCCCATAAGGGCATGTTTGGTTCAATATTTTGTTTTATGATAATTATAAGTTATAAAATTGTACAAAAACATGCTTTATTAATAATTTCTGAAAACTTAGTTGAAAAAATGTCTTTTATATATCTCTTAAAACAGTTTTCTATCTTTTGAATGACAAACCAAGCCATCTGTGAGTCTATGACAGGTAAATCAAGCAACTGAAATCTTGTACTTTTGGTGTTTGGAATTTAGGTCATGAAATTAAAATTAGACTACTTAAAAATTTAAACCATTATGATATTAATTATAATTGGCAAATGCAGCGCCTTACAACATATAAATAAGAGTTATAAATAGGCACAACTCCAAAAGGGTTGGGGCCAAACTCAATGATTGCAATTCTCTTCCACTCCTAGAATATAGAGCCCCAAATCCCAAATAGATATCATCCAGTGAAAAGAAAGCAAATAAGTCACCACTCACCACTTGACCGTTATTGGGAAGTGGTTGCCCACTCTTCCCTCTCTTCTTCTTGTTCTCATTTCATTTGCTTCATTTAGATTTCCTTCTAATTGTATTTAAATCATCCCTCCTTCCCCCATCATTTCAATTAAACTTACCAATATATATCTTTGTATATATAGGTTTAGTAGGTCTTGTCCTTGCCCTATATTTCTTATACCACCACCAACAGGTGTGTAGAAAAAAAAATAATAATAAAAAAATAAAAATAAAAATAAAAATAAAAATAGTACATAAAACTGGTTTTAAAAAATATAGATAGGAATTAAAAGAACCAAAATAATGGTAGGATTTAAGCTTAATTTGTTATTTTTAGTTTCTTTTGTTGTGATGGTTTCCACCATAGAGGCCAACATTGGCCATTTTGATGAGGTCTGGCAGAAGCGTGCCCAGGAAGCCAAGAAGACCGCTCGCGAGGCCTACCATCCGAATCCTGAGGATGTTATGAATCATTTCAATGGCAACGTCCACAAGTAAATTCATTCATTCTCTTTCTTTCTTTTGGTTTTGATGATCAAATTGTCTCATTTGGTGTTAATGGTTTGTGTTCATAATGAGAACTAATTGCTTTGTTGGTGAAGATCTTTGAATGGTCACAACAGCACAAGAAGGCATTTACACAAGTATAAAGGCCCTTGCTTGGCCACAAACCCCATTGACCGGTGCTGGAGGTGCCGGAAAAACTGGGATAAAGACCGACAGAGGCTAGCCCGTTGTGTCCTGGGGTTTGGCCGCCACACCAGAGGAGGCAAAGGTGGCAAAATTTATGTGGTCACTGACCCGTCTGACAGTGACATGGTTAACCCTAAACCGGGCACCTTACGCCATGCAGTCATTCAGACAGAGCCACTTTGGATCATATTTGCACACAACATGGTGATCAGGTTAAGCGAGGAGCTTATCATGACCAGCCATAAGACCATCGATGCACGCGGAGCTAACGTGCACATTGCCAATGGTGCTGGCATCATGATACAGTATGTGAAAAATGTGATCATCCATGGCCTCCACATTCATGATGTTAAGCAGGGCAATGGTGGCATTATCAGGGACTCGCTTGATCACTACGGCTTTCGCTCACATAGTGATGGTGATGGAGTCTCCATCTTTGGATCCACAAATGTTTGGATCGATCATCTTTCCATGTCCAATTGCTATGACGGACTAATAGACGCTATTGGAGGTTCCACTGCCATTACCATCTCCAACTGCCACTTTACCCACCATAACGAGGTAATCTTAACTTTGTCCATACTATGTCAATCACAGATTTTGAGAATATATATATATATATATGTATAGTATGTATATATATTGAGAATTGAAGCATGCATTGTATGCAGGTTATGTTGTTTGGTGCAAGTGATAGCACCTCAGACGATGCAATAATGCAAATTACAGTTGCTTTCAACCACTTTGGTCAGGGGCTGGTGCAAAGGATGCCTCGGTGCCGGTGGGGGCTCGTCCATGCCGTCAACAATGACTACACCCATTGGCTCATGTATGCCATTGGAGGCAGCCAACATCCTACTATCCTTAGCCAGGGTAACCGCTTCATTGCTCCCCCCAACCCAGCTGCCAAAGAGGTAACGATATATCTCTATTCCTATATATATATATATAGAAATACTCGGCCAATCAACTCAATTCAACTATTTGGATAGGTTACATGAATCACTATGACAAATTATTGCATGCTGATGTATGTTTGTGGTGGCGTAGGTGACAAAGAGGGACTACGCACCAGAGAGCGTGTGGAAGAATTGGTTGTGGAGATCAGAGGGAGATCTTTTGATGAACGGAGCATTTTTCAGGCAATCCGGAGACCCAAAACTGGCCTTCACCAAGAGCGATTTGGTTGATCACGGAGACCTGAAAAAGAGCTTCGACAAGAAGGATTTGATCAAACCAAAGCCTGGGTCATATGTGAGAAGGCTCACACGCTTTGCTGGTTCTCTTAACTGCAGACCTAAGCAGCCATGCTAGTTAGTTAAATTTTTTGTGTAATGTCTAAATGGGGACTCAAATCAATCCGTGTCGTTAAAATAGGAACTGGAAGTGAAGGGAATTAAACATAAACAATATCATAGGGTAATTCAATATTTACTCTCTTGTAGGAGAGTTGAGGTAGATATCGGAGAAAGAATATGAGTGAATAAAAGGGAAGCCTAGCAATTTTCAGAAATGAAGCTTTCTTCAGGATTTGGCCCGAACTCTTCGGCATAGTCCTACGCCCACTTTTCGATTTTTTAGTAAAACTTTTGTCAAGTTTTCATTGAACATAGTAATATAACATTTTCCTTTCAAAAAGTATTTCCGAAATACATAAAAAACAGTCACTTTATGCAAAATAATTTCAACGTTAATGTCTTGCTTGAAAAAGAACAAGAATTACTAGTTCTGCCTTCAATCTTATAATGCCATGCTAGCTGGGACAAGCATTATTTTTCAAGAACATCGTGTATTGAATTCCCGCTCCCAAGAGAAGATTTCAAAAAAATATGATAGACAATGATTATAATCTGCTTTGATCTTTTCTGTACATTATTTGTTCTGGGATGGGATGAAAGATGACTAATTGTGCTAGGAAATTCAAGTATAGCTCCCTAGTAGAATTCAAAGGTGTTAGACATGAAGAGACATGTCTTTTAGTAAGAACAAACAAGAGAAAAGGTATTTATACGGATCAGATTTGTAATGCAATTACAAGTTTAATATGAAACTGAAATTCAAATTATATTAACTTCCGTCCTCTGATCAGAGTACAATCCGACACCAACTATCCAAAGATTGGTATGTGAAGTAGATTACAAAAGAATAGAGTTGATGTAAGACATCACTAAACTAGTTGTGATAATTGAATATGGTTGGAACTGGCTAGTGACATCGAACTTGGCAGTTTGTTCACTTAATAACAAATGGGGAAAAGAAAACAATCTGCACATCTGCGCTTCTGTAGCTGAAGTTGAAATAATCTCTTCTTCCATAGTCTATGAATATCATGCCTTGGATTTATATGCATCTGTAACAAGATAACTAGTACACTTTTAGTGTCTACAAGATGAAAATTCCATGAGATTACCGAACAGATCGGCCAATTATCGTCCTAAAGTTGAAGCAAATTGTCTAGTATAGATGTTATCAAAAATGGATAAGGACTTGACTGAAAATATAAAAGAATAAACTGAATTGGAGACCAAACTGGTGAACCAGACTGCTACCAATCAAAGAGAATCATTTTAGCTCAAACACGATGACATGATATGCTCAAGGGAAAATACGTTTACAATGCTTGATTTCTGTACAGAAATGATAAAAATTACAATGTGTAGTTATGTGATCGGTGAAACTCTCAAAGTTCAAAGTTATTTCTGCAAGAAACCATCTAACAGGAAAAAACAATACGATTTTCAAAAAGATGCTCCAAGATGTAATTTTTATGTCAGAACCACTAACCTTCACAGTACGCAGTCCTTGAGTCACTGTTTCTTAGTATCAAGAGAGAGGCACCTCTAGTTTCATCAATTTGGTAAACTGCATCATAAGTGACACACATGACAAAAAAATAAAATAAAGAAAGGGAAAAAAAAAGAAGTAGAAGAAGAAGAAGAAGAAGAAAAAGAAAGAAAACAAAAGGACTTTAGTTCCTATTATTATTCCTCAAATGTACTTTCGAATGATGTGAAATGATCAATCCTTGATGCACTCCAACACAAAGAAGCTTGTATGCATACAGACAAAATTCAAAATTGATAAGATAGAGAGCTGTGCAAAATTTTCATGTGTAGGAACACAAATTTACCCCCATAACAAACCCCTTCCCCTCCTTTCCCAAAACAAGGGAAAAAAAAAAAAAAAAAACACATACAGACATGTATATAAACCTGAGATGTCTTTAGTTCCAGTTCCTCCCACTCTCCAGATGAATTACTTCCTTCCACTATTCCAGTTCCAGCATAAATCAATGCACCGAGACCCTGCGAATCAAATAAGCCAGCATTTGGTAATGACGTGAATATAAAATTATATGGATTAGAACAAAGAAAATCTTGAAATTCCGAGGATGTTATATATGAAGTAACCACATTTTTCCGACTACTACAATTTCAACCTATTCGGTTGCGTGGGGGGTGGAGTACAACAAGAAGAACAAGAAAGTAAATATGTGCGACCGGAGTTCCAGTCACTTAAAACAAAATATGCAAATTCACTTGTCCATTCTATTGTAAACACACAAGTTCATCTGATTATAGTTTCCTAGCACTACAGTTTGACAATTATTAAGGAGAAAAGTCATCGCCAATCAGGTAAGTTTAACTTACCTTCTCCACCAATGCTGATCTTATTCCAACAGCAAACTCGCTCTCTCCTCCTCCAAACCAACCAACAGGACCAGCATACAGTCCTCGGTCAAACATCTCTGTACAACATAATTGAGCAATACTTCACTTGGATGAGTAATATCCAGAATATAGTTTTCTTGTTTACAATTGATTGAGGATCTAAAATATCTTAACTGAAGCATTGCATCACAGCTGAATACAAAGGGGTACAAGAATTACATTTTTTATAAATGATTTTTCACCTGTCAAGGAATAAAGATAGAAACAAGCTCTGGCACAGTAAAGGGGAAAGAAATAATTATGAAAATTATTTTTATAGAAACTACTTGTGCAATATACAGATACAGAATCCAGATAAAGTTTCTGTAGTAATATGTTTGGTCCTGCAATCAAGGATGAATTGGAGTGTGATTTGAATTTGGGCAACCCCATTTGCAATCTGAAATTTTGCACTAGGGGCACAATCCTCCACAGCAGAATCAAAACTCCACCAAATTCCAACAATAGCACACTAGCTTGAAGAGGGAGCTTCACAGATGTTGAAGGTAAGGGAAGCTAATTACAGGAGATCTTCGAAAATTGATGAAAAATGGAGAATATTTCAAAATAGAACCGAGAACCAAGACAAATAACTACCTCTTCACCACCACCACCTTCATCCATATCAGCCATCATTACCTAGTACCTACAGTTGGCCTTCTAGTAATTAATAATCTTGGGAAACCCCAAAAAATAGAATTTTCAATAGAACGTTAGAACAATCATTCATGTTTCCAAGGGCAATGAAATTTTTTCACATAAAATATGTATTATATATAATTTATGTTATAAGAAAGCTCCCGATATTCTTTATTACTAATAAATTTAAAGTTAGTAAGAATTTTAATATAATAATTATACATATATGCATATAATTCTTTTACTAATTATTAATACCACAGTACAATTTTTAAAAAAATTGAAGTATTTAGTCGTAAAATTATCTAGGGTTAATTACAGCGACACCCCCTGAGGTTTGACATAATGACAGCGATATATAAGTTGAGTCATTTTTGTATGATGACACCCCTTAGATTTGATAAAGTTAACAAAGACACTCCAATGGTCTTAAATTGACATTATTACCCTTGACACATTCAATTACCAATTTATCTAATACAATTATTTTTTTATTGACCAAAATACCCTACCATAGCCACCACCGCAGCCACCACCCATCAGTCGCCACCACCAATACTGCCTACCCCTTCTCTCTCTCTCTCCACCCACCATTGCAACCACCCGCAAAAAATCCAGTCAATTGAACCCATGAAAACCCCACAAAAAATCCCAATTGCATAGACACATAGATTTATAGATATATATATAAATCTCAAACCCCCAATCTCATACACTTGAGAAGATGATGCCTAGACCTCAAACCCAACCTATAGATCCTCACCAAACTTGATGACCGGTGGTGGAAAGGCCGAGCTCTGTGCCATGCTGTGCCGCCACCACTGCCGTTTCGAGCTCTGCGTTGAGGACGTCTTGATCACCGTCGTTGTCGAAGAGAAGAAGTCGTTGGCCTTGATGAGTCTCGAAGGTTCAACTGATGTGGATGACAAGGATGCCATCGAGCTGTTACAGGAATCGCGAATCGTGGACCAGAAAATCGTCGCCGGAATCGCCACTGATTCCTCATTGCCGGCTCGAATTCTGATTTGCTCAACAACGGCCTCTAGCCAATAAAAACTCCGGCATACTTTCCGGCAATGGCCTCTGCCCCAACCCGCACCGTCATCTAAAACCCCTGCCTCCGTCAACGGCGTCGCGGTCAGACAGTTCGTGGAGCACAATTATCGGACTGAAAGGAGATCATTTCAATCACCCATGGTAAAATTAAATTTGTTCCCAGGATGAATAATTGAATCTTACATATAAATATACATATATAGAGGGAGAGAAAGTACCTAAAGACGACGACGAGGTTGGAGGAAACGATCTATTTAGCCTTGTACAGAGCCCTTTCTAGTTCTTCTTTGGTTATGGCCCTCAAACTGAATACAAATCCCATAGCCCTTTCAATTTTGGTGTTATATATAATTACTGTTATATATTCTAGAGAGAGAAAGTGATGAGACAGAGGATAAAATTTAGAATAAAAACACCCCTCCACCGTTCCTCCACTTCATCATGTTTGTTGGGTTTTGTGTGGCTTTGCAGTGGTTGGTCGAGAGAGATTGGGGAATTGGGTGTAGCAGTGTAGACTGGTAGTGGGGCGGCGTCGATGAGGCGGCGGCGGCGGCGGCTGGTGCTCTCTTCCCTGCTGCTCTTCCACATATATGTATATATATATATATATAAGGTTAATAATGAATATATATAAGGGCAAATTTGACTTTTCATGAGTTATGATATTTTACAATAATATTGAATTAAATATTGAAGGATAATTTCGTCTTTTCTAACATTTTAAGGGCTTGTTTGGATCAAAATTATCACAGGGGTTGTCTTTGTCTAAAAAAGAAATAAGTTGTATATGGCTGTCAATATGTCAAACCTCAAGGGGTGTCGTTGTAATTAACCCAATTATTTATTATACAGCTAGAAACAAAATTGTTTCTCCAAAAACTATTAACTCCTAAAGACTATTAAGTAATAGAATATTAAATTTTAGGGGCTCAACTGTATCACCAAGCAAACACCTTTAATCCCCCATTAAGTGTAATGTTTAAGTTTTTCATATATATATATATTTGTGTGTGAGGTGTAATTTAAAAGCAAAAGAAAAAGAGAAAAGAAAAGAAAAAAAAATGGGTGGGACCCACTCCAATTTTAAGTCCATAAGATGGGTAATGGGTCATGAGATTAAGCTGATTAGACAGAGGTTACTTACAGCTCAGAGCCGACAGAAGAGCTATGCAGATAAGCGGAGACGACCGTTATCTTTGTTTCTCTACGGGTTTCTCCACGGAAAGGATTGATAAGATTTGGGAAAAGTGGCAAGTTGTCGCCACGATTCATTGGACCATTTGATTTTAGACCGTGTAGGAGAGGTTGCCTACAAACTTGTTTTGCCACCACAGTTGGACAGGGTCCACAATGTTTTTCATGTATCGATGCTACGAAAGTATGAGCCGAATCCATCTCACATTTTGAGTTGGGTTGATGTGGACATTGATGAGGATGTTTCCTATGAAGAGGGACCAGTTCAGATCCTTGACACAAAGCAGAAGGTGTTGAGGAACAAGACGATACCAATGGTGAAAGTTCTTTGGAGACACCACGGAGTCAAGGAGGCTACTTGGGAACTCGAACAGGAGGTTCGCTCCAAGTACCCAACGTTGTTTTCTTCCTCAGGTATGTCTTGATTTCGGGGGCGAAATCTTTTTAAGTTAGGGAGAATGTAATGTTTAAGTTTTTCATATATATATATTTGTGTGTGAGGTGTAATTTAAAAGCAAAAGACAAAGAGAAAAGAAAAGAAAAAAAAAAATGGGCGGGACCCACTCCAATTTTAAGTCCATAAGATGGGTAATGGGTCATGACAGACCCACTGTTTTTCTTTTTTTCTTCTCTCTCGGCTTGCTCCCTTTCTGCCGCTTGCTTTTCTTTTTTTCTTCTACACAATTAAGCTTGATTAATTCCTCATCTCTTGGTATTTTGAAGTGCCGTTTGCAGTAAATTGAAGCTCACAGCGAGGCCTACAAGTTGATAGGAGCAATTTCTAGTTTGGTGCACTCCTTAATTTTCGAAAATTTAGGGCATCAATTTGGGGTTTTTCATTACTTTAGAGGTAGGGGTCTCTAATACTCAAATTCTTGTTCCTTTGTGAGTTTCCCGACTTTAATTATTGTCAATCATGCTAGATTTGAACTGATAATCTCTTAAATGATTTTAATTGTGTATGTGAAGTATGCTATTATGTGTATTTATTGTTCTACATGGAAAGTATGCCTAATTGTTGATCTTCTATGCTTGTTGTGTTCATTAAATTGTAAAAAAATTGTTATGAAGAAGCATGCTAGTTGTGTAACATTAATTTTCCCCATATTTTTATGGTATTAAAAAGGCATGTAACATGCATTCAAAGCATGGGGTATGAAAAGGGTGAAATGATTTGAAATAGATGAAAAAGAGATTTTTGGGAGAATTTGATGAAAGGGTTTTTGAGAAAAACTCTGTCGCCGCAGAGTCACCAAAGGGCCGGTATGTTAATATAGCCTAGAGGGAACTAGGGAGATTGCCCTAGCGTGGTTGAGCTATCTGGGCCCCAAATGACGCTGCGGAGGTACCAAAGGTCAGGGACAGTAGTCAATCCTTTTCTCGTGTCGCTGCGGAGTCACCAAAGGGCGGGTTATATTAACAGTTTGGTGAAGTGATGATGTTTTTCTCAAAATGGGGAGAGACATGCATAACATTGCATTCATAGCACGAAATTTATTTGCTTTGAACTTAGAATTGATATTGTGTTTTCCCGGCTTTGCATGACCCCAAATTCTTATTGTCCTATTCCTTGTTTGGATTCACGGGGACACAAGAGGTGTGTCTTAGGCACCACCTACTGAGCAATTTTGTTCACCCCTTTTATTTAACATTTTTTACAGGAAACGGGAAAGAAGTTGCGGATGACATTCTACCACAGACTTAGTATGGATTAGGAGCTTATTTTGTTGTTTTTGTACTTGGGTCACTCTATTTTTGTAAGACAACATAATGTATTTTGTACAATGACTTATGGACTTTGAATATTATAATTATACCTATGGGCTTGTAAAGCATAGACATTTGATCTTAATCTTGTATTTTGGGACTGTAATTATGATACTTGGATGATATAGTATGTGGTTGTACCACCATGGAATGTATTAGATGTTTATTGTGTTGGGACAGGTTAAAAATGCTTTTAAACAGGTTGTTGTAGGACGATTTTTAGCGGAGGCCATGCCAAATTTTTTTTTAAAATTTTGGCATCAGTTAGGATCGTTACATTAAGTGCCACCACCATAAGAACATTGCTCAAACCACTTTCACTCTCAACAAATCACCACCAAGAAATCAACATGATGATTGGGGAGAAGGGTTGAAGAAAGAACTATAGAAATAAGATGACCATGATTTTTTAACACACCATATGCAGCTCAAACAAAATAACATATTACATGATGCCACATTTTTGTCATGCAAACACAAAATATTGAGTCAAGAGTTGGAAAAGTGGGACAAAAGTTAAAAAATAATAGATCAACTTAATAACTATTAGCAAGTCCTAAATACACAAGGAGGGCGATTGGCGTTGTACGCTAGATTGCTAGTATAAATATGCCACTCATTCTGAAAGAGAAATGACGCACTGCATTCAATCTACCTCTTCCTTAATTAGGAAGAACATTACATGGCTACAGTAAATCTATGCATTGCATCTTTTCACGAGTTTACTAGGCTGATTTCCCTTCTCATATATCAACCGGTTCAAATAGTTGAGCATTTGAGAGCACCCTAGCTAAATTGGTGATGACTTGATCTAGGATTTTAGCATCAACTAGTATATTAGTAATAACTTTGATCAGCATAATATTCTTTTTATGTGTGTGTGTTCATTCATCAATTCTATACATTGATTTGAACAATAAAAATGAGTTGGGCCTTAACAGAAGCTTTACAGGAGACCATCTTTAAAAATCTAATTATTAGATGAAATGGAGTTCATCAAGCCATAAGATAAATAATCTCAAAAAAAAATATCTAATATTTTTTTAATCAATAAATCATAGAATGATAAACACATACCAGTTTCTGCAATCAAGAATCGTGCTTCTTCTGTAGGAAACCCACAAACTGCAGGAGTTGGATGAAGAGAGGACAAAATGTCAAACTGAAAAAAGAGAAAATAGTTAGCACTTTATGTTTAAGAGAAAAGTGATAAAGTCAGCTATCAGATATTCATTATTTAACAATATGAAACATTCCAAATCTAAAAGTATTTGAAAAGGACAAAATGAGAATTCATGAGATTATTAGTTTATGAAAATATATTAACTGGATAAAAAATGTAAACCCGATGTGGAAGGACGCACAGATAGCAGTCTGACTGAACGTCTATTCCATATGAAATTTTGGAAGAAAACTTCATCTAGTGACGCTGCCTATAAGATCTTACCTCATCATCTTCACTTCTCAGCCTCCCTATTAGTTGGGCATGGAGATGTTGAACTCTTGGGAGCTTTCGAATTGATTTCTTTGGTTCCACCAATACCTTGATACATACAGCCTGCAAAGCACAAAGAATGCAGAAAGGCATTGATGTTCCAAAATAGTTGATAGTGACTAAACCAAGTGAGCATAAACTATGTGCCCATCATGATGGTGATATGCCTGCAACTATGTCCTATCATATATCACATTGTTTACAGGGAAATGTAGGATATATGTAGGAGGGGGTAGGCAGGGGCAGGCCAACCCCGTTCACATATATAAAAGCAAGGATGATGATGATGAGGTTAGGTAGGGAAAATTCTGTCACAATTAATACACCTCCTATCTTCAGAATGTGCCATCATTGATAGGCTAGTATATCAACCGCTAACCAGACAAGGAGAAGAAGCACTAAGAGGAATGCTCAGAATCGTGACACCAAGCCACATAAACACTAGAAGCAACAGTGTGGAGAGAGGAAGAGAGAGCTCCCTTTTTCTTTCTTTTTTCTTACTTGGTACTCACACTGCCTCCATTGAGGCTCGAACCCCTGACCTCCCTTTGGGAAGTAGGGGCCTGGTACTGCTAGGCCACTAGCCTGTTGGAGAGAGCTCCCTTTCCATCCAAGCAATAGAAAAACAAAGTAGAATGGTCTTAAAACAAGTTGCTGAAAAGTAATACTAATAATAATGTCAATAAGAACAATAATAGAAGTAGTTGTACAGATGTGTCTCCCTATAGACAAGAAATATAGTTCTGAGGAGATGGTAGTCAACATCACGTGCCTCTAGTTTTCTTCTTATGCAATCTCGTACTATGGTAAACTCACGATGGTCCTTAGCACTGCAAAATGAACAAAAGAGGAAACAATGAAAAAACACAAATTGGCAATTAAATTGTTCACAAGGAAATGTTAGTATTTACAGTATCATATACGATATAGATAACCATGAATTTATAAAATAAACCTGGAAAGTAATTCAAGTTCTATCTGAAGATCCAGGGCCTTTGATCCACCTCTAGCTCGAGTCCCAGCCAAAGCCTCACTACAAATGCTAAGCGAGTTTCGGTAAAATAGTTGCTCTGGCTATTCTCAAAGTTTTGTACAAGTGAGTAACAGAAAACAGACACAATCCCAACATCAGTTTCAAGAAGTTGTATCTTCAAAAGAATAGTCAGATGTTTAGCGTTTAATTATCTGAAAATGTATTAAATGGAGAACACATACAACAGAGAATTTTATCACATAATAATGGTGCGTTCGGATACATAGAAGAGAAGCGAAAGGAGATAATAGCTTTATGATAAAAAAGAAATGAAAGGAGAGGATACTGTTAAATGTTAACCTTAAATCCTTTCAGGATAACTGAGGAGGAATAACATAAAGGAAAGGAAAGTAATAACCTCCCACCCTTATTTTCAAACCAAACATGATTTAAGCTATCATTTCATCTTCCTTTCCTTTCTTTTCCTTCCACTTCCTTCAGTTCAAATACAGTGTAAAAGTCCTTCAAAAAAGTCCATAGCATAATGAAAAGCAGTCTCCTAGGCTAACCATTACAACCATCAATTTATTTTGTGAGGACAAACTCTCAACAAGAGTAACCATCAATCTTTGCTTGTAGGCCAATTTATTATTCAAATTGAAAAAGTCTATTTCCTATTTAAGTCACATTTAAAGGCTATTAGGTTTTATATCTCTTTTTAAAACACGTATTTACCATCATAAGATCATATAACATGGCAAAGTCAGGATAGTTTCCCCGGAATCATTCCCGTCTCCAAACCCATGTCCACTGCACACCATCTTATAACTTCCATGATCTTGTTAAATTTATTTAAGTATCATCCTCAAAATATACTCTCCATTAGGTAAACTTCGTATTGATTTGTCTATATGTTCCCAAAAATGCACTTTAGTGTGATCGTCTAATCCTACTTGGAGTGGACGTGTGGGATTATATTTATTCTACATTCTCCGAACATGTACTTGGTGCAATGTTTTAAAAATACTATCAAACATGAGAATGCAGGTTAGAATTTCAAGTCAGTTATTTTATGCAAATAACACCAAATATTAAATTTGTATCCAGTCTAACCATCCTAGCACCCCACATAGGAGGAACCAATATTGTGTAATGGCTTTTTACATTTTCTCCTAATATATTTGATTTTTTTTTTGGTAAGCATTATTCTATTCCCTTTTATAGTGACAATTGTGACTTCTTCTTTTAGAAATTTCTATCTTTTCCCATATAATCAATTTATATCATTTATTCTCTATTTCCTTTACACTTAGTCTTTCTGATAATGATAAATGGGTACTATATTATCACAAAACTCCCATGGTCAAGGGACTTCTACAAACATGTGCCATAACAAACCACAAGGTAAAGTGCAACAGTAAGTGGGATAAAGAAATGGATCAAAAGCATTATCCTGATGCTTACAACATCATGCTATCTTCCTAGAGCACCACTTGGGAACATTATGCTTATCATCTTCCTATCTTAACCTCAAGCAATGCAACTCCAAATGCATACTATTTGTAACCACTCAAAACTTGCAACATGATAAAAAAATTTATGGAATGTACAGATTGAAGGAAAAATAGATGATCATAGAAAAGCATACATTGTGAAAAAGGAATAAATAAGTTTTGTTATTGAATAATCTGATATATATCATACTTACAGTGTTCCCAATAAATGCTGGTGCATTGGAAGGTTGAAGACAAAATTGATAAGCATTTTCTCCTTCAGCCTACATGAATTAAGTGTACTGAGAATATAAGTTAACACAAGAAAAGGTTCATTGAATATGAAAGTAAAGTAAGGATACCTGTAAGCATGCCAACCATGTTAAAGGGTCAATATCAGGTGTAGTCACAACTCTGCTGCTACGTGCAAGTACAACCTAAATTTAGAGGACGAACCTAATGCGTCAAAAACTAACTAAAAGAGTAAAAAGAAAAAGATGGAGAGCCCAATGGTATAACCTCTTCTCTCTCAAAGGGGAGGTGAGGGGTTCAAGCCCTGTAGTGGGCAATTTGTGAAATGTGTGTGTGAGTACTTACCTAACCAAAAAAAAAAAAAAGAAGAAGATGGAGAGTATTGAAGAGAGAAAATTAGTGGAACATAGTATCACAGGAACCAATATAAATATTCAATGCCTGAACATACTGATGAAAGCAATGCATTTACTGCTTGCTAGTTGCTATTACATCTGTTAGACAATAAAAAGGCACTGCAGTCTAGTAGAATAGCATGTAGTTTTATATGGTACCTTAATAAGTGCCGAGTTGTTTTTGCTTATCATCCGCAAAGCTCTATTAACAGCAAGATCCCAAGATGTCTTACCAGGAGCATGATTATAGCTAAGGATGTGTGTGTTAGGAACTTCTTTTTGCAGCTTTACAATAATAGAGGAAACCTGCATAACCATATAAGCTAGATTTAGTAAAGACCTTCCTATTAGTAAATAACATAAAAGAATCAACTAGTCTTGAAACGCATGGACCTGTCTCATTGTGGCCTGAAGTGCGGCAATTGCTTTCCCGTACGTCCATGAAAGGGAATTGTCCCAAGCAATGGTTGTGGCAAGCATCGAACTTCCTTCAAGCTCATCAAACTCAACCTGCCATTTAGGATATGCCAATAGGTTTTATATGCACTAGAGATAAAAATGACCCAATTTCTATATACTACAGCTGGCTATATCTACTTCATGGAAGGAAAACAAATGTTTTACCTGAGGAACCATGAAGTAGAAAGAACCAAAAGCCTCCCATTCAGGTGATATATTGGCCCTTGCATCAAAGCGGATAGCCCCATAAGCACGAATCAGAGGGCATTCCTTAGATAGGAACCTTTAATGAAAAGAACTTCGAATTAGGTTATGAACTTCTAGATAACAGCTTTCTAATTGCAGATAATAGTGAAAGTAATTCTTCCATCAGTTATATTTTTATGTCTTAAATGGTGTTTAAAACCAATACAGTGACTTAGATATGATTTGCAATCTAACAACTGTATTGCATCAAAAAGAATTATCTCCATTATAATTCATTTAACATACTGATCTTCTCTGCATATAATATGAACAGGCTAAACAGTCAAAGTGCAACTATAGCTGGTGTGAAGTTGTGGCCCGAATTTTGTTTCGGCCTGGGTTGTAACTTTTGAGCCGTTTTTCTCTTGTAGGTCATGAACTCGGTTCTAGAACTCTCTTGTAACCCAGTATATAAGGGCGTTTAGGATTTGGAGTGTGTAATGAGAGAAATCGCAGGAAAGATAGCGAGAGGAAGAGAGAGGGTTTGGGAGTGACTTGTAATATCCTGTGAAATTTTTCACACCTGCCAGATAAATCTTTGTGTTATTTGTTTGGTGTGCGCTGACCTTTTCGATGATTTTTTTATTGTGTTCTTGGTTTGCGACTGTTGTAACAGCCAGACTACTAACTACAAAGTAGCGCATAATTGTTGATAAATCAAATATTTCAAAAAGATAAAATAAAAAAATAAAAAGAAGAAGAAGACTGATAACCACATCGAGCTGTCGAAGTATGAAGTTGAAAAGGGTCATGAATCTCAGCGTTTCTACCAATATCAAAACCCTTTCAAGAGTGACTACAATAACTCCACGTGGATTTGCACATTACTTCTAGTACCCACAACAGTGATTATGGTTTTCTGAATTGCATCAAAGAAAATAATATGAATAGTGACTCTCCTTTTTTAAATTTTTCGATTTTTTTTTTTTGGTTGGGAAAAGCACACTATGGTGCTTCATTTTTATACAGTGTTTATGTAATGATTTAATATATAATGCATGTGTCTACATATACAAAAACAGGGATATAAACAAGATTGAAACATTTTGCAAAGAAAATATTATGAGTAACAGTATTTCTATATGTGTTGAAGTGGTTACCTCTTGATGGAGCGCCAATCGTCTAGTGAAAAGGGACGGAAATGGCGGAAAAAAACTGCGGAACCAACACCGGCGACGCCGATCAGATTCTGGGTGTTGTCGGAATCTATGAAAGGATGGGGTTGGAGACCCAAAGTTCGGGTTCGACCCGAGAAGAAACAACGAGGGAGGAGTTGATCTTGAGCGTGAAGCCAATCGATTGCTTCAATTCGCTCTTGAATTGGTACCTTTCAATAGCATTACCAGAATAATTAAGTATTATAAGGAGTATTTGATTTTAAGCTCAAGAATGTGGACACAACTTTTTTTCGTTTTTTAGTGGGAGTTGAGAAAATATATATTATCCAAAAAATAATAATAATAATAAAAGGGGCTAGTTTTATCAATCTATATGATTTGTATAATAAAACATTAATTTTATTTATTATTTATTTTCACAAGTAATTCTCTCATTTTGTTTGGTTAAATAGGAAAAAAAAAAATATTAGCAAAAAATATATTGCAAGATTTAACTATATTAAGATATATGCTAAATAAATACTAAGTAGTGCAGTTATAATCATGAATTTTACTACGTAGTGCACTTATAACTATGAATTTTAGAGTTTTTTTTATACTTTTTAAAATTAAAAATATGATGATGCATTTAATAAAAAAATGTAAGTTCAAATATTATTATTTAAGAAAGAAAGAAAAAAATATATTTTAACTAAATTCACATAATTTGTTGAATTGACTTGATTTAGTGGGGCTATTTTAGTGAAAGTAATCCCATTGATTAGTTGAGGAAATTTTTTTGACAAAATAATAATAATAATAATTGTATATTTTTTATATGATATTCACAATTACCTTCATTTTCAATGAAATAAAAGAGTTATTGTTACTATTCCAAAAAAAAAAATAGAATACTCCCTTTTCGAAGAATAATTATGTCTTTTTAATATTAAATAAATAAAGGAGATTATACAATAAAATATGAATATCATATCCTTATATGTTCATAATAAAAAAAAATAAAAAACAAAAAGTAAAGCAAGTCGATGGCATTTGGTTGAATTTTTGGCACCTGACACAATGACACCAAACCCATATTGTCTTGTAAAAGAGTAGTGCAGGATAAGGAATGAGATTGCACTACATGGTTGATTGTCAACCAACCACGTGTCATATGAGGCTATAAACTATTCTTGTTCTTCAACCATTACATTACAGCTATGTATGAATAGAGCTTCATCAAACCTCAACGAACAGAACAAATCAAAGAATTGAAGTGCACCAAATTAAAAAAATGAAAGAATACGGTTACCTGGAGACGCATAATTCCGGATTCAAAAGGAGGCGGGTCGGACTTCAACTCGAAAATGGTTGAGTTGAGTTGATCCATAGCCAATGCTGGTGTCATTACAGATTGAAACGTCCTCGTTTCAACGGTTCCTAAGGGAACTCTTGTATCCCCATGACAACCATTCATGGATAGTGAATAAAATTTATTATGTCTCTGTTCCAAAAATTTAATGTCAAACCTTATTTTTGTGAAAAACAGTTAGTCACGCGAAGTAATACTAAAACAGACTTACTTGATTGGAGACATGGATTGATTGTCTACTATATATTGTTGTGTCTGAACTAATAATGCATTTGCATTTTCCAGATTCTGAGTCCATGAAACTTGCAGGTGCAATGCAGCGCCCAGCACTAGCAGCCATGAGAGAGAAAGAGAGAGAGAGAGAGATGAGGGATTCTGCTTTTGTACTTCTTCCAATGAGATTGGGCATTGGGCAACAACATGATATATGGTCTGTTTTAGTATATTCTCATTTGATATAGATGGTTGTTAATGTGACACGTTGGATTGTACTTCCAATATGTAGTTTTATAAATTACCGAGTAAAGTGAAAATATTTTTGAACAAAAAACTGCCTAACTATGTTGATTTGTTTCAATTAAGAACAAAATTATCTGAAAAGATTATTTTACATTTTTTATTAAATTTGTCATTTTTTATTAAATTATTTTTATTATTTTTTCTCTTATTTAAATATTAATTATATTATTTGCCTTAATTTTATTATTAGTATCAATTTATGAAGAAAAAAAAATTTGTAACTACCATTTTTTAAAAATAATTAACTTATTATTAAAATTTTATTATTTATAATAAACTTATTGTATCCATTTTAAACCTTTTTTCCTGTAGAAAAATACTCTGTACCTTCTATTCTTACAATATATAGATGAAAATTTAATAAATTACTTAAATAAAAAATACTTTCTTTTTTATGTAATATATTCATGAAAAATTAAGAAATTAATTACATTATTTTAAAATTTTCTACTTACGATTTTTATTTAAACGATTATTTAATAGAAAATATGTCATCAAATTAGTATGATTTTTTTTTTTTATAATTTATTTTAATAAAAAAATAAATTAAGTGTAATTTAACAAAAAAAATGATGTTATGTATAATCTAAGCATTAGTTATTTATGGTCAATTTTCTTATAAAATTAACTAACAGCCTAAAAGTTTAGAGTTACACGTATAGATAGGCTTTAAACTTAATTAATCATGATATTATCTCAACACTTTGTTTAAAGAAATTCTAACTTTTTCTTAACAATTAATCATGAAAACACTATCAGTGAACCGAATGTTGAATATACGAGGGTATCATCCCTACTTACCTTGGTTTTCTTATGATATAAATAAAGTATAAATTTATCATGATCATACTTACTTTGATTTTTTTTGATGATTTTGAGCTATATATAAATAATCTTTTACATGTTTAAGTGCTAATTTTATATTACAGAAAACTACAATAACAAGAAGAAAAGATAAGCAAATATTTCATTGAATCGCTCAATTTGTGAAATATGGGAAGAAATTAAAGTAAAAATGTTTATACAGTTCTCGTGATGGATATGAAATAAATAGATAAAAATATATTAAATTAGAGTATTAGCAATCATGCGTAGTGAAAGTGCAATAAAACTGTTCTGACAAATTGGTGGGCTATGTGATAATGTTACGGGTGTACATCTTTTTATTTAAGATAAATAATTTTACTCCCTCTTCCTAAAAATTTTCAGAACTTTTTTTTCTTTTTATAATTAATCCTCTGAACAAACAATTTTTTTTCAAAAATTAACCGCAGGCGAAATTCCGACTGTTTCTTCCCGTGTCACGGCTGTAAATTTAAAATGACCAACCTACCCTTTATCTTACTTTATTGGGGCCAAATTAGTAAAACCCTAATCTAATCTCCACCTCCAATCGCTCTGTAAACCATTTAGGTGTCCTCAATTTTTTGCTGACAAACGTGAAAATATTACACTTACGTAGAAATTATTTGCAGAGCGTTTAGCGTTTTCCTAAAATTGAAAATTGCAGAGAGTTTTTTCTATAGTTTAGAGAGAGAAGATGAGAGGAATACAACTATCGTTGAATCAAAAGGAAGAAGATAAGATTGGAATAACACTGGAACTGCTACAATATTTTCCATGAAGGCAACAACGATGCTTCTGTCGCCGTTGCTTAGGCTATAAAAATGAAATCCCCAAATCGAGAGCAGCAATTGAAGCCTTGCCTCTGCCCATTCGAACCCTAAGTTTGCAAATCGCCCTTTCTAGCTCTATGTGTGGATGTTCACTGTAGGCACTGTAAATTCTGTATTTGATCCACAAAAAGTGAAATTTCTTTGATTTACAGTGGAGCGAGACGGTGAAGAATGAATTGAGGAAGATGAATCCGAATCGTTGAGGATGTCATCGACAGTGCGGTGACCGGTGAGGTATGGATAAAGAGGTGGTTATGGTCCTCATCGCCGCTGATGCTAGAGGTGTTCGCCGTCCTCATGTCCTCTTCCTCTGTATTTCTTCGGACATACACACAATTTACTTCGCACCAATGGCGGTGCATGATGGTGCTGATGGACTTGACACGTCAGCAGCATAAGTTAATTAAAGCACCAAAACGGTGCCGTTCAATAGTCGGTAATTTTGTAATCTTGGTTTTCCGAGACTCACCTGATGTCCCTAAGTGCAACTTTTTAATAGTCCAGGCCATTTGTTTATATCATTCTATTTAAAGTCAAGAATAAAAAACACCACTCAAATATGTATATATGCATATCACATCCCTCTCGTACAAAAAACACCTCTCAAATTTTAATTTAGTGCAATTAGATTTCCCTCACACATTTAAAACTTAAATTAACCAAAATTCCCTTACTAAAACATTTTATTAAATATATAAAAATAATTTTTTTTTATAAAAAGACCAAAAAGGACACACTAAGCAGTGACGTTGTTTTGCAAGCACCACACCCATTTTCATTAAAATTTTAAATTGAATCATTTTCCATTCATTTGCATCTTCACTGCCTCGGATATTGAATCATTTTCCATTCATTTGCATTTTCACTGCTTCGCATTGTTAAGAGAGCAACCACAAACCCTAGCCGGTTGCAATCGAAACCTCATGTTCTTGATACCAGAAACCCTAGATCCATATTCTTATCATCACAAGGAGGGGTCACGTTCTATAGAGAGAAACCAGAACCCTAGGTGATCTTGATCACAATTTTCCATTGCAAACCAAAAACCCTAGCTTTAAGTTCCATTAACCGTAAACGTATAAATCGTTTAAAGATTGAAGGTTGGTTCATGTCATCTGTGAAACCTGAATGTAAGTTTTTGGTAACCCTTATTTATCTTTCTATTTTATTTATGTCGATGTGATTTTTCTCTTGTAAGGATTTTAATTTCCTTCTCTGTTAAGGTTTATTTTGTTCTTTGTTAGGGTTTTATTTCTTTCTCTGTTAGGGGTTTTTTTTCTTCTTTGTTAGGTTTTTTTTTTCCCTTTCTATTAGAGTTTTAATATATGTGATTTATTGATGAGTATTTTTTTCGTTCTCTGTTAAATCGTTGCACTACATTTCTTCTTTATTAAGGTTTTTTTCATTCTCTATTAGGGTAATTTTTTCTTTGTTAAGGTTTTTTTTTTTACTTCTTTGTTTTTTTTTTTTTTCCTTCTCGGTCTATTACAGTTTTAATATACATAATTTATTGATACGTATTTTTTTCTCTCTCTGTTAAATCACCGCACTACAATTCCTTCTCTATTAGGGTTTTTTTTTTTCTCTGGGCTTTTTTCCTTCTCTATTATGGTAATTTTCCTCCTTTGTTAAGGTTTTTTTCCCTTTTTTTTTTTTTAGAGTTTTAATATATGTAATTTATTGATGGGTATTTTTTTCTCTCTGTTAAATCACCGCACTACAATTCCTTCTCTATTAGGGTTTTTTTTCTTCTCTGTTAGGGTTTTTTTCCTTCTCTGTTATGGTAATTTTCCTTTTTCTTTTTTCTTTTTTCTTTTTTTTTTTTTTCTCTCTCTCTATTAGAGTTTTAATATATGTAATTTATTGATGGGTATTTTTTTTTTCTCTCTGTTAAATCACCGCACTACATTTCCTTCTCTATTAAGGTTTTTTTTAGGGTAATTTTTCTTTGTTGTTAAGGATTTTTTTTTTTTTCTTTGTTGAGGTTTTTTTCCCTTCTTTGTGATATATGTTAGGATTTCTATATATCTATTTCTCTCTTTCCAGTATGTCTATAAAGTTAAGCTTTTATTTTTTTATTTTGTAATTGACAACATGCTACTTTTTTTTTTCCTTTTGAGTTTTTGACAAATGACTGATTTTGTGATCCATATTACAGTGGTTTGTCCAAAAGGCTAAATTTATATTCATTTGATACAAATGTTTGATTTTGTGATCCATATCACAGTGGTTTTTTTTCCTTTTTTGTTAGGGTTTTTATTTATTTAGTTATTTATTTGATTACTTTTGTGGTCCCTAACATAACATATTGATTGCTTTTATGGTCCCTAGAATAACCGATTATTTTATATATATATATATTTTACTATAAGTTGTCAAATTGGTTATTTCTATCTTCATTCAATACATTTTTGCCATTTTATATGTTTATGTTGTTTGTTTATGTGGTTAAGAGTTGCTGGTTCTCATAATGGTGGACCACATAGCCTAAAAAGTTAGTTTTTTTTTTTTATTCTTGTCTTTGAATAATTATTCCAAACACACTGCAACTTTATTGTTTATTGTTACACATTATTCTTTATTGTACATGTATACTGACTTTAATATTGCATGTCTATAATAACTTTATTATTTTTTTATTTCTACATTGTTCTTTATTGTACATGTATACTAACCATGTTTTCTAGTGTCCATGCCATGCATATTGTATGACGGATCTATAGATCCCGCTCTGATATGCATGGATAGTTTCAGAGTTTTACTCATTGTTAGTGGTGTTGTGTACTTTGTAACTATTTAGAAGATGTAGACAAGTCATTTAATTCATCAGCATCATTTGGACAATTTCGACAAGCGTAACAAGTATGTTGGAGGTGACTTGGAGCTGTTTGATAATGTGGACAGTGATACAATGTCATACATTGAACTTTAAGGCATGCTCAAAAGCTTTTTTTGAATGCACACAACAAAATTTTCTACATGGATCACATCTATGGGCATTTATTACAACTTTTTAATGACCTAAGTGTGATGGCTATGTTTGAAACATACAAAAATATTCCACCGATCCACATTTATGTCAGCAAGCCAAATGAAGAGGATAATGAAGCTGTTAGATCAGAGAAAGAAGAAGTTGACACTGATAATGACAGTGTTTTTAGTGTTGAAAATCAGAATGCTGGCAGTAATGGCAATGCTGAA